ACGATAAATCATACTGTCACCATGGTGACCAAATGACCATGCCACTAGAAAGCTGATTCGTCTGCCAAGTGCAAAGTCTACAAACAAAGAAAACTGAGCAATAATTTCACACCTTTTCTATCCTTCCATCTCAGTTTTGATATTCAATGTAATCCCATCTCACATACAACTCTATTTTAATGCTGTGTATGCCTTTTTTATCAATAATTAAATAACGAGAGAAACAGATATTCCTTGATTAAAATGCACATACGTGCAACAAAATCTCAAAAGCCTCTGTGACATCATTCATGATACAAACAAGTGGATATAAAGTTTCATAATAAAAAAAAAATGATTCATAGTGGGAAGCTGGCAATAACAGTTTGTGCATTATTGGTATCTTCCCATGAAATCAGTAGTACATGGGACAGACAGCATATTTAACAAGGTTAGATCCATTAAACCCCAAAAATCAAAGCAAACCACAGTGAAACCTTTTAACAACTACTGCAAAATGTAAAATAGTCACAACAAAGAACTGCACATGTCAAGTAAAGTCATTGCAACTTAGTTTGAAACATCTACTGAAAAACACCTCATGAAAAGCCCAGAATGCCTCTCTTTCCAAACCAGACTGTTCACTAACTCGTTTATGCATCATCATGAACCCAAGAATGCAGTATTTTACAGCACTTTAATTAAGCAGGTCAATATACAAATCACCTCCAGTAATACTTCTTCAAAGTAACTGTTATTTTAAGGACAGAAGCATTGAAATTTACACGTTTTTTTCTCCAACAATGATACATAATTTTTGGATACATTACAAAAATCAAGTCACAATTTCCGACGCGTCTCATATGTTTGCTGCAAAAATTACAAAACATGCTCTTGTGTGGGCATTAAATTATTTACAGTACTTGGTGAAATCTTACACAAAGCCAGGCTCATTGTTGTGGCTGGTGCCAGTACTACTGATAGTAATCCCTTTACAAACCACTCTAAACTCCATGAGTATCCAACAAGTGTACCATTAACCACTGAGTCCTCAGTCTGCTTTGTTGTGTCTGTGTGACCATTTTGTTTTGTTGTGAAACAACCAACAAAACAAACTATGTAATCTCCCAGATCAGACAGTTGGAATAATTTTGTATAAAAAAAGTTATGCAACAGATCAAGGTCTGTTGGTAGAAAATTTTGGCCCTTGGATCAATATTTGATATATTTAGCTACAAATCCTGTTTGACACTATTTGCTCACTTTTAAGTTGCTAGTGAAATTCACCGTGCGTAGTCAATGCCACTTGCTTTTCATTAGCAAATCTAAATTGCATCCAACTCTTTATTTTCCTCCTGATTACATAAATTGATCAAACTATTCTTCCACTAAATTAATTCCCTTTTGTGGATGAAAAGTAATGGCTTTAACTCATTAGGTCCTCAGCCAGATCTGCAAGATTTTTGATTTTACGCTAGACCGGATGCTGCTCAAACACTAACAGTAAACATTGAGAAATAATGCACTGCATCTCCTAAGCACACAGGGCTACTGTCTCCCAGAAAATCCTCTCATAATAATCAAACTTTACAGAAGACAAACAATTAAACAAGGGTCTTTCAAAGTTAAATGTAAGGATTTTGCCTGGCAGGTGGTAAGTTAACAGACCAAACCGGCTGGAAAACAGGCACTGTTTGACCATCACACACAGCATCAATTCATATAGGAAATACATCTATGCTTCTACACTGAATAACTAAGAAAATCTTTAACTTTTTAAAACTTCTTTACACTTATCCTTTTAATCTTAAAATCATTTTATTCCTAAAAATATACTTTTATAAGACAATGCATTTAGATACAGTTCTGTACTCATAATTCCCCTCTAAAAAGTAAGTTATCAATAATCATATTTTCATGTGTAATGGAGATGGACAGATCTTATCGAGAGAAATGAGGGGCAAATGAGGGGGATATAAGACCAGAGCCTACCTGAATAGATTTCACAAGATACCCCCTACATATCCAATTTTCACATGTACCAGTATTCAGAATTGTAATCCTTGGCTTTTTCCCAACAGAGCCACATGCCAGCACCCAAGCCGACAAGTATTTTTGGACCCCCAATGTCAATTGTCATCACTGGCAGCAGCATAACAAGCAATAGGAATAGCATCTTACCTTCTGTTTCTGCCACCGCCTCTGTAAATGGGACTGACAGCCGGACTGGGAGATCACTGTAGCTATCAGAGTTTATTTTCACAGAGGGTTCAGAAACTAGTCTTTGCTGCAAAGTCATAGAATGCCAACCATGGCTTAATTGGCTACACCTTTAAATTACCTAACTATTGGTCAGCCTGCAGTTTGTAGGAGATGGTTTGGGTTAATCACCAACACCTTTGAAGTTACCTAATTTTCAGTCAGGAGAAAGGGGAGCCAAAAGGAAGGGTTATTAATTCTATGTTGCCACTTACAGTTAATGTTCCATCAAGTACATGAAAGCCTAATAATATACTGTATCCAGATAACAATGTGCCCATAATGTGGGGATTGTGCAATAGTGCTCAGGTTGTGATTACATGATGGGGTGAGATGGAGAATAAATAACTGAAGTTGGTTACATGGAGAGATAATTAGGAAGAATTCCACTTAGAACATCCAAGATAAGGATATAATGGAAAGTGGTGCTGATCAACAAACCCAAAAGATACAAACCTAACCACATTCTTTCCTCATCAACTGGCAAAAGCTAAATTTCTTAACAGAATTATAATTCTTTTATAGCTAAATTAACAAATAAATGACAAAAGAGAAATTGATATTCTTCATTTTCAGCCAAAAAATATATTCATTAGTCATTGGTATTGGCTTCTTAGTTCCTCGGACAATGTACGGTCAATTCAAAGAGAGGAATTATTTTTTACTCCATATCATATTCTCTTTAGAAAGAAAACAATTTTACTCTTTTTGAAAAAATAAACAAGTTAGATAATATTATAAATACAGCACATGAACAACATTCCCCAGCATCTCTAGAGTACCTTTCAGTCCTGCTGTGTGGTGAAAAGTATACTATCTCCATAGCAACAAAGCTTTCTTTTGCTCTTTTGACCCTGCATTTTTTGAAAACTAGTGGAGCATTAAGTTTATAATCAGCAAAACAGTTGGGGACTATGTTGGTTAAGGCACACTGGATGAGTACCATGGAAGTAGTTATATATACTTCAGTTGCTGGGACAACTTTGGGTTCATAACACAACAGGCTTGGTGGTCAGTAAATAGAGATCATTGCAGGACTTTCCTTGTCTTACTTAGACTTTTATACTACAAATTCTTAAAATTGGAACCACAACCTTGATAAACTAAACATCTGCTGGAAAGAGAAAATTGTTCCAAAATTAATGAAAGGTGACCATTTCTCTCCTGAACTTTAGATAGACTCCCTTTCAGCTTCACTTTTCTTGACACACTCCAGGTTTTGAGGTAATCCAAGTGTGAACTCCCCAAATCTCAGCCAAGAGCAGCCCCAAGCGGCATTGGACGGTCATTGGCAGCTCGAGGAGAGTTGAGAGGCACAGGGAGCCAGTAAGGAGAGACCTGTTTGATTTGAAGACCCCCCTGAGAGAAAGTTCTTGTTAGTTTTGCCATTCATCTGAACAAGCCTTCCTCCTGCTGAAACCACTCCTGATGCTCTTCAAACGAAGACAGAAGTGTTTACACCAGCTACTGAGCTCAGCAGTTCAGCAAAAACTTCAACATGAAGGGTTACACACTTGAAACACCTAACAAACAAGGGAGATCTACAAATACAGGGAAAAAACAACATAACACACATCACACATAAGCTTCAACAAACATATCCAACACTGACCTTCCAAAGCAAAAGAGGGCAGGGGCAACCAGCAATTGAAAAAGAAGGGCTCTTTTCATACAAGCCAAGAACGCAAACTAAAACTGACCCAAACCACAAATCTCTCATTTCAAACAGAAAACTAGTTGACTTTCTGTTTTCAAGACTCTGCAATAAAACTGATATGCACGGTGTGTTGCTTCAAAATTGTTAGTTTTTCTTGTCTAATCATTTGTCTAATAGTTCTTCTTCTTAAAAAAATAGACTTGCTCTTTTTTCATTATCAAAGAATTGTTCACTCATTTCAAGTTAGACTAAATTAAAACATTGTTTCATGCGACTTCAAAATTTCTCATATAGTAAAACACCAAAATTGTCAGGCTACAATGCAAGAATTCATTGATTCCTCTGGTATCTTCTCAGCAACAGGATAACTGTCCATAATGTTCCCGTAATAGCAATATGACATCAACGGCACAGTTACAAAATCACAGACAGCCATAGTAGCATGCTGCGCCAAGAGATTGTTGGCTTATTAGATTACTATTACAGCGTATTTTTGTTTTTCCATCAACCCTGAATACTTGGTGGGCATTACAAAAACCAATATTGAAAACAAACATTTTTTATTATTCCCCCCTTTAATGCCTTTAATTCTGCTGAAAATTTATTTTTCCCATTTCATTCTGTTATTTTTTCATGTTTATTAAAAATTTCTGCAAATAGCATTGCCTTTCACATTTTCGTTTGATAATAAACCTTAAGATGAAATTTGAGATTCATATTCTAGAATGATTCAAGATGATAATCTCTTTTTCAAAATTTAATTCTTAGTCCTCCCCTATCCTTTTGTTTTTACCACTAGGGAGATCAAGACATGTTATATGGAATTACTACATGACAGCCAACACCACCACGTCAACAATACAGAATCTCCAGTTTCTCCTCAAGAGAAACTAGTATAGCTGTTTATTAACCCCAAAAGTGTGCCCGGATTATTTACAAACATGGCAATCTTATAGGTAATCTTCACAATTATTCACAATCGCAGACCTCTAATTTTACATGCATGCTTATATCAATACAGATAGAGAGATACTACATCTAATACTGCCACCAAGTACGTACCCATTTGGCCAATCACACATATATATATTTGTCAATCCCTTACCTCGGTGTATGGATGCCTGTGATGTCAGTATCTGTGGTCTCGTTTTCTGAGCGCGCCCTTTTAACCTGCAAAGATACAAAAAGTGGAAGCTGTTTGAGGAGCTGTTGAATTCTTTTAACAACAAGGCATTTCTAAATCTCTCATGCACATGTTAATTATATCCATCTGATATTAAAATCACTCATCCATTTTTCAACACTCGTGACTGACTTCAGACCTAGCTTCTTACATACTCCAGGATAATGTCGTGCCATTGAAAAAAGGTGCCAGGAAGTTTGTTAACATAATTTTCAGGACAAATGCATTCAATGAGATATTTTTAACAATTTGAATCAATGGGAAAAACATTATCTGTAGAAATCAAACAAGGCAAAAACATGACTTCAACTTCAAAAGAGCCATGTTTCGAAGTGTCCCTCTGTCAATTTTGTTTTACTTCCTGTGGAACGCTTTGCTTAAAGAGAGATAACCAGAATATAAACAATATTCTATTAGGTGATTAACTCACTGATCTGTCTGCAGCTGTGCAGCAACAACAAAAAAGTTAGTGAGAGACGGGGAGAGATGTTAAATTACACATGCAACAAAACTGATTAAATCTAAAATTCTGACCAAATTTGCCAGGAGTTAACTTATTTTGGGGCAATTTTTACAGCTGCATCAAACAATTCTGCATGAGATATTCAGCTCAGCAACAATAATAGCTGGTCCTGTCTAGGGAAGAACCGATTTGCTATGTGTAACTGCTCTTTAAGAGAGATCTAGATATTTCCACCAAGTACTATTTTTGCTGAGCAGTGAGAGACTACATTCAGCGGTCCAGTCAAATCAAATGCTTTTAAATATTTAACTCCAGGAAGGAGGCTTCCATTTGACTAATCAAGTAGGCAAGCTTCAAAGGTCTTCTCCCTGTTCTGCATGCTAGCCTTAATTTCTGTGTCTGGTGCAGAGCAATGATAAAATTATAAAAGGTGAGGAAACACTGGTAAATTTGTTCATTGCAAAGTTGATGGAGCAATTATGATTTCTCATTAGCAGATTCACTGTACCTTACAGGCAATTTCAATTGATAACCACAAGGCTAAAATAATATTAGATGATAACACCCTGTGACTCCTTTGCTAACTAAAGATAAAATACCTGACATACTAATAATCAAGAATCTATTACCAAACATATTTAATCAAATTAAATGAAATCAGCACATAGGAAGCCTCCAAAAGCCAAATCATACCTAGATAAAAAAGTTCATATATGATACCGATGAGTTCCTGAATGTATGAACATTCCAAGAAGTGCCGTGGCATTTCTTATTTGTAAATTTGCACAAGAGCAATGTTTGGAAACAATTTCAAACAATTTTCTTCTCCTTCAATGATTGGCAGAGCAGTTAAAAAAAAAAACAAAAAAACCAAGAGCGACAATTTACCTCCAAAACTTCATTCACTTTAATGATCAGGGTGACAGTACCAGCAACACCTCACATGGCAGTAAGATACATAAAAAATTGAACAGCCAATCATCCTCTCATTTATAAATTATATTTAACTTTTGTTCACCAACCCTTCAGATGACAATTAACTAAGGATTGAAATCTCTGGCAAACATGAATATTATATCAAATTTTGAAAGAAACCACATCTCTGGAAAGAGCAAACAATCTATTCAAGAACTAAGGTACCAAAACCTAACAGAGTATAAATTAACTATAGAGAACTGATTTCAGTTGACAAGCCAATGAATTCTGGATATCAAAACAAACTTGAAATCAAAAAGCTTCACCAACAGACATTCTTATCAAATCTCTGTGACCAAAAATCCACATTAAATACTATAGAATATGCCCAAATGTCCTACCATACAAAGAGACTGAAAAGTTGGATCAATCAACATCACCACTGGCCTGAAGGAAATAGCTGACCACTAATGTGGCTATAAAATCTCATCTGCTCTTCCTCAATCTGCTTTGCAGTCTTGCTACTACACTCCTATCGCTGATATTTCTCCCCTGCTATTCAGAGAGGTTATGCAGAGGCCCCAATTTGCTTGCCGTGTATTTGCATACTATAGGGACAGAAGTGCGTGTACATATACTGAGCAATTAGTGAGGGTCAGGCAAGGAGAGCCACTCAGGAGGGGAGAGGTGGAGAGAGAGAAAGAAAAGGAATGTGCCAACACAGGTGGCAACAAGAGAACTGATGAGTGAGAAGGGAGAGACATGGCATTCCTCTCTGGTTTCAATTAAAATCGAAGAATCTTTTGATTTTACTCTTATTCCCACTGAAATTCACCCCTGTTCTCATGCACTATAATTTGAGTTCTGATTTAAATTTTTTCAAGAGGGTCTGAATATCTGAACATCATCATCCACTCCACAGTTTGTTTGCAAACTGCCACTGACAAAAATAATCTCAAGCATATTCCTGACAAAAGAAGATGGATGGGTCTGATAATGGTTGTTGCCTCTCTAAACATCAGCTTTGCTAAACCAATGTTGCCTCCAAATAATTAGTTTTGAGAAGGGTGAAACTATTTTATCATTTATAGTCAGTGTCCATGTAGAATGCAAATTATGCTTCTAGATATCTGAAATAACTAGTCTTTGAAAATGAATCCCCATTTACAGTAAATAACTTTTTTGTATGGGCGTACCCAATTTGCATAGGCATTTCTTATATCTAATTCCCCTAATATTTCTCTCCCATACTGTTAAAAAACATTTTACATTTGCTATTTATTTTCCATATAAAATCCAGTGGGGTACATGAAGCAAAACCCAACAGTTAAGTCTGTTTCTACTTCCAAATGGAACAGCCAAAAATTAATCAGACAACTATGACCCCTAGGGGGCTTTAACCCAGACAAGCCCGATCCAATCTAATCATAATATAAACATCATTTTTGCCTGCTTAACACTGGAAACATAATTAAACCTAGGTTAACCCTAGGGCTACTTTTTTCTAAAACATGACCAGGAAAAAATCAAGATTAAGCCAAGGGGGTGTCTAAATAAACATTGAAATGTCATTATAGGGAGAAGAGTAAACTGGGGCAGAAGAAATTCTCTTCAAGTAGGATATTTTCAGTTCTTCATTTTAAGCATGCTATGGTGTGAAGAAGTCACGCCCTGGACAGATCAAACATGCATGTTTTGATGAGCAAAAACAAGTTTTCACCAAATATACATCACCGTTTGTATTTTAAAAATCTTTTTGAAGTCTCCCAGCATGGGCAGGAAAATAATTTGTGAAACAGCTTCTCATCGCTTGATCTTTTATACAGAATGATTAAGAGTGATTTATATGAAAGGGGTGGTACCCCTGGAGTTTGGACCAATTAACAAGTGACCTCGCTTTTGAACATTCAAAAATTTGCTGGCCCACACAAGTTTTCTTTTTTTTCTTAAAAAATAGCTCTGGAGAACACCACAAATATCCAGATTCCCAGGAAATACTACCACGAGTGTACCCTGGAACTGGATAGCTAACACTCCACCTCCTCTCATCTCTGCCTGGCTGGGTGTTCTCTATTAAGAAGCATTTTTTACAAGCTACTTCATTTATGGTCCGATTTGCTTTTCATTTTCTTTTTCTTCCCTTAATCAAAAGTGACAAGTTCGATGTTTTTCAGCCTTCTTTAAAGTGTCAAGGGACTAGAATAAATGCAGCATATTATGGTTTATATTTCGATGGTCCAGTGAGCAATTCCAATTGAATTTTTTTTTTAAACTCTGAAAGTTTGTTTTTCTGAATTTTACTGAATTTATTAAGCTCTAGCTAGCAAAAACATGTGCTGAGTTAAATTGTTTCAAGTAAAAAAAAAATTAAAATTAATTAGGCCTTTGGCATAAATGAACTTGAGCCTCTTTATATCAATAAGTGAACTTCTGTTTTGTAAATTAAAGTCCCTTTTTTGAAAATAATTAATGACAACCAAGTTTTGTTTTTAAAAATCTTTTCCCAAAATGATGGATTTCCCTCTGATTGTTTTCTACAGCAAGAATTTAGTCACCTACTTTTGCATCTATCTGTCTGCCACATTCACCACCATTCCCCTCTCTCACACTTTTCAATCTAAACAAAAACTTCAATCAAACCGACCTGTGCATTAAATTCACTTTAAACTCCCATCTGTAGGATCTCCCAAAAAGTGACAGATGCTGCTAATAAATTCTGATAAAAGCCTCTGATAGCACTTACAACACATCTCTTCCCCTCATAGTACATTTTCTACAAGATTGATGGCAATACACAAAGTGGCTAATAACCCCGCTCAGGGCATTATACCCTACAACATATGTTATGCCAGTTTTAAAGTAGTTTTAAATCCCTAACCAGTCTTTGTAATAATACTTGCATAAATAATACACCTTTTCTATATATACAACATCGGGTAAGACACATCCCTTTTATCCTGGGGGGAACACACTTAAATAAGTTAATGTCTTTTAAGAGTAACCTCGCCAAAAGATATAAATGTCAACGTATAATTTTTAATAACATTTAATGGAATAATGGACGATAAGAAACATATTGAATATTTAGGCTTTAAAAAAATTTTAACATAGGCAAATTTGATGAGAAGACAGCTTGCAAAATGAAGAAACTAAAATAGAGCTAACCAAATCAAACAAAATCATGTTATATACATTTTAAATAAAGCTTTAACAACTGTCACAATTTTTCAGGGTGTTTGATTTTAATAGATACACACAGTTTTAACCAATGGTGATTATTTCAGTTGATCACATTCCATAATATTTACCAGCAAGCCAGTGCTTAGTTTTATTCCTATTCTAATTGAATTCAGACTTATAGGTGCTCCATGCAAAATTGTCATCAGAACCCAATTACCCATGCAGCATCCCCACCAAGTCAATGTGACACATGGCTGGGTGACAAATACTTCCTTTTCTGATATAATTCTGCATCATGATCGTTGTCACCATTTGTTTCAATTAACCGTCTTTCTATCCTCAAGATGAAAATGTCATGATAAAGACATGATGGATCTTTCTGCCATTAGAAAGAGGCAGCCATTGAGACATGCATGCTGTAAGAGCTAT